GAGTTTGGTAAAAGAAAACTGGACTTTTCTTACTGCTTCTTGAAGACTTTCCCCTGAAAGAGATGAAACATTCTCAAGAAACCAGTTTCCCCTTTTATGACCCTTAGATATAATAATATATAGAACAATAGTGTCCAATCCTAATCGTCAAGGGCACCTTAGCATGCTTTGGTTGTTTTCTTGCTCCAACACATCTGATTAAATAGTTAAATTACTTCTTCAGATATCCTCAAGTTTAGCAAAACTCCAATAATAATCCCTTTGTATAAATCAGGAATGCTCAAGCAGAAAAACATCTAAAACATGTTGGATGGTTTTCCTAGAGGACAAGGATTGAACATCACTGATCCAGGAATGGTCTTTGCAAAGTTTTGGCAAGGTCTTTGGGGGCTTACTAAGAATGAAATGGGCTTCCTAATAAGTTGGATGGAGCTTGATAGGTTGTGGATAAAGGTTTTGTGCACGCAAAAACATTCCATTGCAAAGTTGTGGTGATTTATCTTCATGGTGACAGCATAATTGGGTCTTGTGAAGCTTGAGGAAACACGTTGGCATCAGTGAGAGCATATCTATGACAAGGGTCATCAAAATTTGGAGCCATGCTGGTTTTATGCTGAGGCCACAACTGAGATCTTGATAAGGTGATGGAAACAACCTAGTATAGGGTATAGTGTAGGGTATAGTGTAGGGCATAGTGTAGGGCATAGTGTAGGGTATAGTGTAAGGGATAGTGTAGGGCATAGTGTAGGGCATAGTGTAGGATATAGTGGAGGGCATAGTGTAGGGTATAGTGTAAGGTATAGCGTAGGACATAGGGCATAGTGTAGGGCATAATGTAGGGCATAGTGTAGGGTATAGTGTGGGGCATAGTGTAGGGTATAGTGTAAAGTATAGTGTAGGGCATAGGGCATAGTGTGGGGCATAGTGTAGGGCATAGTGTAGGGCATAGTGTAGGGTATACTGTAGGACATAGTGTAGGGCATAGTGTAGGGCAGACCTGGGCATTGTACGGCCCCAGGGCCACATGCAGCCCTTTGGTTGACTCTGACCGGCCCCTGTAAGGGGAATTACAAAATACATATGTAAACAAATGAAGTTAACCAAATCCAGATATAGATCCTCTCTCAATAATGATGTCAGCTTTGCTTCACATCTCCACCTCAGACCTTCAACCTGACTTTAACATTTCCATTAAAGCCCAACAGAGACTAAACTTCTCTCACTAAACAAGAAAAAAGAACTGGTAAACACCAAATGAGATTTTTAGACTACAAATGTAGGCACGTAAAGAACCGGGACTCGAAATCATGGTTCAGTGACAATCACTATTATATGATGTTTCATAATATTTGGAGTACAAAGACAATATTGTGATATATTTACAAAGCTAAGAACTTTTTCCAGCAGTATATAAAACTCAAAATGAGTTTTGGGGTGAATGGGACTGAAAATGATCACTAATATCAATATAGGGCATAGGGCATAGTGTTGGGCATAGTGTAGGGCATAGTGTAGGGTATAGTGTAGGGCAAAGTGTAGGGCATAGGGCATAGTGTAGGGTATAGTGTAGTGCATAGGGCATAGTGTAGGGCATAGTGTAGAGCA